AGTCGAAGCCGACAAAGTTCGCATCAGCAGCGTCGTCCCTGTTCGATTTTGCGGATTCACATCTCACAGAAGACAGGAAAGGGTCGCGGGTTCATCTTCCTCCTCTCACAGAAGACGGGGAGGGGTTGGGTGCCCGTCTTCCTTCTCGACTCAGCTCGACAGCACCGAGTGTTTGGTCTCTTCGGTTACTGACATTCGTCTCGTCATTCCTGCCCTCTGACCGACTTGACAGGGCTTCTAATTGCTGTGATGGAGCTTCCTTCTTGTTCGGTTGAACCTGACAATGTCTCATTTGCCCACGTGGTGGGTAATCCTCAGGTGGAGACGACAGTTGTCTTCCCCTCAAGTTATAAGGAATATCATGATGATACAGGTGACTGCCCATTTATTAAGAATGCAAGTAGAAAAACTGGAAAAATAACACTCTTTTTCTTAGAGTTAGAAATTTCAACCCTGACTAACAAATTTAAGTTTGCTCTTATTGGACAGTGGGGGCACCCACCTATGGAAGTTATCAGGAAAAATTTCGATGATCTCAAATTAGCAGTAAAGTGGAAAGTGAGACTCATGGATGAGAGACATATATTAATTTAATTAACCGTAGCTGAAGACTACACTCGGAATTTGTCCAAAAAATATCTCAGCATTGCTGGTAAATCAATGAAGCTACTAAAGTGGTTTTCTGATTTTGACCTCAATCATGAACCTCCTATTGTACCTGTATGGTTCAGTCTACCAGGTCTCAAGCTGCACTTTTTTCATCATCAAGTTCTTTACTCAATCGGGGTCATACTTGGGGGCCATATGAAGCTAGATCTACCGACTTTCAACCTAACCAGACCTTACTTTACCTGATGTTACTGAAGTCTGGTCGGGCACAACTCATAATGGATATTAGCAACAAATCGTCATGGAGCATAGACCGCCTTACTGTTCTCATTGTAAGATGTTTGGGCATACACTTAATAAATGTCATAAGTTTCATCCAAATTTGAAATCTAAAGATCAAGTGAATAAGGATGGATTTAATCGCACTACTCTGGGTCTGTTTTGGCTATCGCTATCACAGGACAGATTTTAGATATTGCTAAAGATCAGCCACCTGCCATCCTTGTTGAGAAGGTGCAAAACGATCCTCTACCCAACATCGCAGTTCCTGATGAAGAACATCGAACTACAGGTACAGATCCAAAAATGCTCATTCCACTCACTGTTATTGAAGAAGACTCACATGTCAAGACACACAACAGTGCTTCTTTGATTCAATCAAAGATCAGCCAAAACAACAAACAGTTATTTCTAATGTTCAACATCCTACATATGTTTGGTACACTTTAGACCAATCCACTGATCAGGCGAGCCGATCTTCGGATGAGGAATCAGTGCTTCTTTGATTCAATCAAAGATCAGCCAAAACAACAAACAGTTATTTCTAATGTTCAACATCCTCGACAGGTCTATTCCAGGAGGAAAAAGAAGACCGGAGGCCGACTCGAGCTTGGAAATTTATTGGATGATACTTTGGTCACTATTGGCAATGACACTCATCTTACCAACTTATTAGCTGGCTCCTTTCCTAGAACTAGAGGTAGAGGCAAAACAAAATTGAGCCGCTCTCTAGCTACCTGATACTATGTTTTTTGATATTTTTTTTATTTTTTTTCTTTAGGTCTCTTGTAATTTTCTATATTTTCTTTTTTTTTTCAAAACCATTTGTATGTGGTGGTTATCATGGGGGAAGGGTGGCCACAATCTATATGTATCATTATTTCCTTTTAATATATTAGCTTTTGAGTTTTCACACATATATATATATGTGTGTGTGTGTGCGCGCGCGCGCGGCGCGTGTCTAGGGTAGTTTTTATCGTGTTTTTGTTCAGGATAGTTGTCAGGGTCCTTAGTTCCCCTTATCGAAGGGTGATTGGTTCTTCGGTTGTATCTTGCTCCCGAAGTGGTGACCATCCTTTCCCAACTCCTCTGCATCCCTCCCATTTCACCGCCAAGCATTCCTCTTCGTTGCAGGCCGCCCCGACAGCAGGCCATTTGTTGTTTTCTTGCAGATTTTCTCTGTCGAGCCCTCCACCTTCATTGTCGTTGTTGTCCAACCTTTCCTCTTTGTTGTCGCCACCATATCAGCCCTCCATCCTTGTTCCCATCACCCCGAACAACCCTCCCACATCACTCCCTGCAGTTTGTTTGTTGTCTGACACTGGGGGAAACATCTAACTGTTTTTTCACCATCGTGCCACCCTCTAAACCACACCGACCGCCACCACCACCCCTAGATCTACCGACTAGCTTGAGGTTGTGTTGTAAGTTGTTACACTTCAGATTCTCATATGTTGGTAGTAGTTTCCTATTTGAGTTCTATAATAAAATTCTTTTTTTCTATTGTTGTTTGGTTAACTTCAGTATAATTTGGCCAACCATAGTCCTATCCAAGGATTTCTAGCATCCACCTATACCCAGCCCTATCTCCACCCAAAAACCTTTCTTTCCCATTCTAAATCCAAAACGTGAACTCTCTTTCACTTCTCAAACTCAAACCCTAATCATGTCACTGAGGAGATGAGTGTGGGATGTTGATCAGGAGTTTACCATTGAAGAGATACAGCGACAACTCCGTCGAGTGCTACAACGGCCCTACGAAATTGAAAAAAATAGACCATCCATAAGAGTCACCCAAACTCCATTCAATTCCAAAGATGAAGAACCACTAACCCAAAGATTTGACTGAAATATTGGAGAAGCCTGAATTTTAAAGTATATGTGGATTCATCATAATTTAATGAATTCATCTAGTGGCACTAAACACTGAACTTGTCTTTGAGTGTTAGAATTTCATAATTGACGGAATGGTGAAACTAGCCGTCAGCAAGGAAAGAAAAAGTGTCTCAGTGATTGAAGAACTTAGAGATTCTTTGACAATGAGAAGGAAATAGCAAAATTACCATCTAGTCTAAGATAATACGAGAAATGCAGCGCCAGCACCTACCAGTTCATTACAGACAAGATGCTCAAACCCTAGTTACAAAAATGGAAAGACAACATCACTAGATGACTGCCAAATCTGACAGGTAGGGATCAAGCAACAAGAGTACATCCATTAGAACATCTAAGCTGACCATGCATGAGGAGACAACTTCAAAGTAGAGAACATGTGAAACCAATCTGCAACCCCAAATCTGTCTTCAGATAGGAAGTGTTTCCATTGTCACGAATTTGGGCATATTTAATCATATCACACAACCAAAAAAATAATCCCTTTCAATGCTCATGGCGCAGTTGAAAAAATAGACAATGACATGAGGAAAGATGAAGACATCAGAGACGAGCCTCGCCTTCAAGCCGACAAGGAAGAGATGCTAGTGATTCAAGATAAGCCACGGGAGAGACTCCAGCTGGATTAATCGAGACTTCTAAAAGATGATGAGTTTGAGGTAACAGACGTTCATATAGAATATGAGGTTGCAGCGCCTCAAACTACCATTTTGCAGGCACTAAGAGGAGAATTAGCAGGACTGACATTAGATTTCCAAAAAAATCTTTGAGACACCGATACCAAATACTTGACAACTTCAAATAAAAAAATTTAAGAATTTTGAGGAATATAACCTACCTCCTAAGTTGAACCTACTGAGGGATATCAAACTTATCAAAGAGAAAATACCTTGAGCTACTTTTAGAAAACCATATGAAGTCATTTGGGTACAAAATTCAGTTCAGCAATACACCCTCTACTAGATGGCCCGCCTGGAGGGATGAAATATAAAGTTAGAAATTGCCGGAATCAAACGAGATGGAAGCGATCGTCAGAGCTCTGGCAACTGCAAAAGAAATACGAAGGATATGGTTCCAGCTACATACCTAAAAGTCGGTTCCAGTTAGAGGTGGTGTAAGAAACAAAATCCTCAGTAGCGCCCTCTAATCCTCCACCCATAGAAGAAAAGTTCCCTTTTCCATCTGAAGCCGCATCTCAGCTCCGACGGCTACTTCCTCGGGACCTTGAAGAGTTGCGCTTCCCACTGCGGCCTGAAACATCATTTCTCCCCCTCGGGGGGGGAGTAACCCCCTCCGACAGAAGAAAATAGACAGGACGCCTCATAGTCTCCTCCAAAGCCCTCTCTTGTAATGAACTTGCGAGAAAAACTGAAGAACCATTCTGATCCTCGCGCTCCCCTGATCGTGGCTTTTGTACAACCCTTTTCTTACTCAACTCTCCAGTAGAGACCTCGCTAGTCGGTTTCCACTTCACGTCTGGTTTGCGAGTATTTGCCTGCATTTCACTCATCGCATAAGGGAGTGCATCCCTGTCAGCAGATGACGCTCCCCCGCCGGACATATTAGCAGACACGGGAAGGCAAAGAAGGAAACTCTCAAAAGAGAAGGATGGAAAAAAGCGCAAGTTTCCTCTGTCCTATTTCTTATTTATAGCATATTGGGCACGAAAATCTAGAGAAGTTCATTACTGCCCAATAATGTCATTTAATTATTTCTTACATATTGAAAAGAATCCCTTATTTTTCTATGATGTGCAGCTTTTAAGGAAAAAGTGAATCGGGAAACTAAATATGTCTACGAAAAAATATGTTTGCACGAATCTCAATGTAGCATCACGGCTCGAAAGAAATATATGACCAACCGAATGTAGCAGTTGATGTCCGTTTGGGAGAGAGATATGCGAAGAAGGCGTCTAGTTTGAGCAATCGAAAGAACGTGTCAGAGGAATTCTCACAAGGCGGTGATCGACACCCAAGCCGATTGGTGACAGTGACTTTATATATGCTTAAAAATATAAGTATTTAGTACTGTTGCTAAAAGATTTAATTCCTCAACAACTGCACCAAAAACTTA